CTGACATACTTTGGACATGTTGTAAGGAGAGACAGGCCTTTGGAGAGGGACATAATGCTGGGCAGAGTGGAGGGACAGCGCAGGAGGGGAAGACTCTCTATGAGGTGGATTGATTTAGTGACTGGGGTAATTGGGATGGGTGTGTCAGAGGCAGTGAGATTGGCACAGGATAGAGCTGGGTTTAGGGCTGTTGTACATAGGGTCGCTATGAGTTGCAAGCGACTCGACGGCACATAACAACAACAACAACAACAACAACAACAACAATGTTCTTTAACATCTTTTAATGATTCATTTCTCTTTTTAATTTATTCAAATGATGAAATCATTTATTGAGCATTAATTTAAATGAAAAAGCTGCCTCAGTTCTTAAGAAGTACACGATGGAATGGCTTAGTCTGTAGCAAAGACACAATGGTATCCTAAAGCAATTCACTAATAGGCTCACAATAAAAAGGTGATACAGATAATATTCAACAGTGTTCCTGGGAGAGTGCACACAACTAATGCCCCGCAAGTATTTGTTAAGTAAGAGAATGTTTGTTCCAGAAGGATAATCTCAACAAAACGGAATTTGTGTCTTTTCTTTCACAAAGATAGTAACAGCAAACTCCTGTGAACTCCATTATTAGCAAATAGTTTGGGAGGTCCATGGAGCGATAGCATGTGGAGCAACTAGGCACTGTATCTACAGAAGTCCAAGCAAGAGACAGTACTGGCTGAGATTGGAGGAGTGAGCTCGGTCTCTTTCAAAAACAGTATATGGTAGGTATGTGAGTTACAAGAGGATCAGGGGCTTCTGCACACAGTGTAGCACCAGGCTGCCCCAATGACACAGTGTTCCAGTGACACTGTACTCCCTAAGGTTCTTGAGTGATTGAAAGGAAGAAAGGAACCTCAGTTGTCTGTTATTTAAAAGATAATTGTGTTGGCATAGTCTAAAGCATGTTGCGCTGTTGGACTGTGCACCTATTGCAGATAGACAATCTCCTCTCATTCAAGTTTGCAGCCTCAAAACCCAATGGAGGCTCCTTATGAGTCAGAACTTGAGGTCACACACTAAGGAAACGGAGTAAGTCATCAAGTACTGTTAAAACTAAACAGAAGCAAAGCAGCAAAGTCTTTCTGAAGAAGGGAAATACCATTGCAAACAACAAAACTGGTCAAAGTTGGCAACAATTTCATCTTTTGTTGTTGTGCACCATCAAATTGGTTCCAACTGGCACAGGAGATTGCCCCTCCTTCTCCAGAGGAGCATCTGGTGGATTAGAACTATGTGCCTTTGGGATTGTAGCACACCCTCTTGCCACTAGGCCACTAGAGCTCCCAAAACCAGTCAAAGAAGAGGAATGGTCAAGGTGGGAGACATACTCACCCTGTACTTTTTTTTTTAAGAAAAAAATATTGGATTATTTACAAAGTTCTTTTTTTGTTTTGTCTTGCTTTTTGAATTTTTAAAATAAATTTAATTGTGATTTTAATAAAGTTCACAGAAAAGATTTTCATTCATTTATTGTTGCATACTTTTATCCTCTCTTCCTCCCCCCTTTCCCAGTTTACTCTTTTGTTTTTTTAAATTTTTTTTATTGTACTAGTTTATTTACAAAATTCGAATACATTGTTTTCTAGACCAGAGTCTTCCAATTTCCCTTGCCTCCTCACCCATCAAATTGTACAACTTCATGATTAATCTCCCCAAGGTTAATTTACAAAGTTCTTAGATATTGTTTTTCACAACAGATCTTTCCCATTTCCTTCACTCCCTGCCACCCATCAAATTGTGCGAGCCTATGGTTAAACCACCCTCC